TGTAGAATGTGGCATTATTTTAACAAACCGTCACAAATGTCTTTTTACAAGACTTATGAAACATCCATTTTAAAGAGATTTATTGGCCCATGCTAATTGCCTCCAAAGCCAATGTGAATTAAGAGTCATATGCTGAACAGAGGGCTGTGTGTATATATATACTATTAAATGCTGAATGTGTTTCCCTAAAAGGTCTCATAATTAAAGAATCATTCTCAAGTAAAACAAAAAGTAATTGGCCATATATTGTTGTTGGTAAAAAAAAAAAAAAATCTTGTAAATGCTCTTTTCCATCCATGTTGGATGTATGTTACGGGCTCCCTCATGCCCCCAATAAGAATAACAACAATTAAAAGCTTCTGCATGGTGGGGGGTTTGGCTGCTGATTTTTAATGCTGACCCCAGAGGTTCCCAAGATCAGGTGATGGTGAATACAGGGAGAATAATCCCTTCACACCAATAATTAAGAGCAGCCCGTATAGTAACTGGGTTCTATCATGAAAAACAGATAATAAACACATGCACATGTGTTAAGCTGTGCTACTTTACAGCTCATTCTGTGCAAATACAATAATTTACATTTCCATTTTACCAGCATGAATTGTGGTAAGGGTAGCAAAAAAGTAGAAAGGGCCTTGCTAAAGGGCAAGGGGAGAGGATCAGAGTAGGTGAAACATTTCTTGTCCTTTGAGGTACTATTATAGGATTTGTAATAAGACTGCAGGGAATAGTTCATGGCTGGAGTTTTTTTTTAAGTAATTCAGAATTAACAGACTGAAATAAACCAGCTGCCGTATTTAAGATGCAGAAAGTTTATGACAGCCATGGAAGTTATTTTATCCTCTTGCAGTTAATACAAGAGAATTTTTGTTTCTTCGAGTAAGACTGTAAAATAACAGGGAAAGAAAAACCTTTCAACAGCCACATGCACACACAAAAAATCCTGACAGCTATAATATGTGAGCATAATCACTTACTCCTCTAAAGATATTTCTCAGTAAATTTATCAAAGCTCAGAATTACGTGACCTATTGGATTCTCACCATATCCTCAGGATCAGCATGGTACTACTCAGAAAACAGTACATAGACAGACAAAGCCAAATTTAAAGCAGTATAATCCACAGGAATTTAAGTGCACTGACAAGTTTAAGAATAGTGATTGTGACATTCCATTGTGGGGGAGCAGGAGGGAGAGCAAACCCTGACCTGATATTTGTCCACGACACTTTTAGTTAATGGCTGCTTTTATTTTATAACCTCATTAAATTTGAGTGATGAAGCATTAATGTTATGGGACACATACAACTATATAGATTATTTTAGCCTACTTTGTTAGCTGTCAACATGCAACCCTAAACAATCTGATATCACAGCCTGTGTGTTCCATGAAATGGGGCAGGAGGCAGAGAGAGGAGAGATGGGGTGAGGGAGAGAGAGATTACTGGGGAAAAGATGGATCCAAGCATAAACGTATGATAAGAACTGCCAAGCATTAAAGTCCCCATAGTGACAGTAATTACAAAGCAGTTCTAATTTCAAGTCTGTGTAAGAGAAGGGCATGCTATTATGCACAAAGTAATAACAGTTTTATTTGGGATGCAACTACCTACTACACCAAACCACCATTTTACAAAGATGGTTATGTCACTGCTATACTCAGAAGGGTAGACGAAGAGGAAAGCTATTTAGTCACACACTAAAATATTCTTAAAATGCAATTTGCTACACTGTATAAATGCAAGATACAACATTCTTTATGGTGTTACGCTGAGACCTTCATCTGTAGATGAAGCTGTTTAAAAACAGACTATTCACTTTTTCTCAGAATGGACTAAGTGCACGAGGAACAGAAACTGTTTATGAATGGTGGCTTCAAAAACCATGTTCTTTTCTGCCAGAATCATAAACACAAAAATAATGTAATTAGCTTTAAGACATTATAAAGGTGTCCAAAAGAGGCCTTAGCCCAGACAACGTCTTGCATCTTTATAAATCGCTCTTTGGTGATTATAAAAGAAGGCCCTGATCTAAAGGCAATCCTGATCAATGGAAAAGACTCATTTTGGATCAAACCCTAACAAAACTAAATGATTCACTCTTGTCAGCTGGCTTCTGTTCTTTAAGACATTACACAGAACATGCACTTTAAGTACAGTAAAATGTGTAAACGACACCCCCCTTAGCAGGCATTCGTGTCTTCAGAAACTGATCCAAAATCT